TGTACGTCAAGTGAGGTTTTTTTTCCACAACGTTGCCCTCAGTCAAGCAATACACTGTTTGATGGGAAACTCTTTGCTTGTCAACTTTGTACAAAAAAATTATATAGTTTGAACATCCAGTCACCCAGGAGTTAACATGCTTTTGCTTTTATGCTCTGCATTTTTTATTTGTGATCCGCACTATTAAGAAAAACTTGGAGGAAGTCACTTGAAACCAGGAAAATAGAGATGTGGAGATTTGTCAAATACATGTAAACATATCCATTGCATTGTTGGGCAAACTAAACTTCAACCCCTACAGCGTTACAACCCAAGCAAAGAAAATTGATTTGGATGCCGGTTGTTCCTTGCTTTTGCCTTTCTCAGTTTTTTTTCACCTCCAAATCTGGCAAATTTTTTCTCCGTGGTACAAGGGCGGGGGGAACAATGGCTGAACAAACTCTGGCATGAAGTCAAAGCAGGCCGCCTGCTTACACTGGACGGCAAGCACAAAGCCGTAATCTGTTGAGTCAGGACAAAGTAAAACAAACCTCGGGGGTTTCTGGCATGGGACTTCTTGATCGTGTGCGGTAGGGAGAAAGGTATAATCGGCAGTGACTTGTTAAGTTCCCCCCCTTCCATCCGATGAAAAGAATAAGAAGTACTCTACATGTACCATGTTTTGTTTGCTGATTGTCGCAACACCACAGCTGCGTAAGGGACATTTTTTTCCCATGCAGGGTTTTTTTTCTTTCGGTAAGGTAGAGCTTTTTTTCTTTTCCCATCATTTTCCCCCTTCCTTTTTGATGTCGATCACAGAGTTATGAGTGTTTTTGACATGAGTCAAGCCAGACAGGAACCCTGGAACAGAAGATTTGAAAATGATCGATCACAGCAAGTCATGGTGGGAAAGCTGTGAAGTGTTTAGTTGGACACTGGAATCCTTCCAAGGGATACACGGCAGTTCATTGTGGAGGTGGCAGGAGGGGTCAGCTTGCGCAATTGTCAAAAGCCGGAATATATCGGTTAATGAAACCTTCAAGTAATGAGAATGCTATTCCATTTGAATGGGTTCTTCAGCCGACATAGACAGTTATGAGGGCTGCCGGCCTGTGCCCATCCAGTGGTGGTCACAATGGACCACATTTTAGAGCCGTCCTGCCCTTTGTTTGTGAGGGACGTGAGAATTGACTGCCTCACAACGAGGTATACGTCAATGTCAAGAATTGGATGTATGTTTGCTCAAAGGCATGCAAAGATATGCTAGCAACAAACAAGCCCATTCTATTATTTTGTGCAGGTGCACATTTCTTGCAATTCTTGTCTTTGTGACTTTCATATTTTGCCAAAGCAGAGTAAAAATAATAAATCAAAAGTCGAGAGAGAGAGAGAGAGAGGGAAAGAAAAAAGGAGTGCTGTACATTATAATGTTTTTACGTTGCCTAAAAAATGAACTTTTGTTCATGGATCTCCGTCCCTTCCGTGAATGGAGTATGTTAAGAAAAAAATGAAATGATTATTGGTTCGTTCCAGAGTGCAGAACATCTGCTGGTTTTCCGCAATCCAGTCAGGCATTCAGCGAGACAATACTTCCCTCCACCTCCCCTACAGCCCCCCCTCCATCCCCCACAGCAACAATCTGCTGATGGGTATCTTCTGGACCAGCGGAGCTTGGGAGGTTAACCGGCTGGCGCGTCCACACGGAGCCCTCACTGCCTGGCCCAACCCATACCTACTCCCCCCCTCCACACACCCACACACACCTCCCCTAATGCCCTAATAGGATAAAGACACCGTGATTCAATTGGACTTGCAAATTGAATATCCAATCAACATTTATTGCCAACCCCAACACTTGGCCATGAATATTAAATCTTATGTAGGGGGATTAAACGTTGAATTGGGTGTGTGTGTGGAAGGGGGGATGCCTATGTGGGAGGTGGTAGGGGGGCGGAAGTACATGTACATGTAGTCAATGAGTAGGTCCCGGTCTTTTGTTAGCATTCATCTCCTTTCAGCGAAAGGCGTCAGTTTGATAAATTGCTTTTTGGCAAGTTTATTATTGTTCAGATGACAGCGCACAAAACAATACAAATAGCACCAAATGCTGGCGATCAGAAGAGTCAGTGGGAAAGTGATGCAGGGAACAGTAGTGGTCGGATGGCATGTTTTATCATTCATAAAACAAATACGCTTATACCATCGCTGGAACTTGATCAGCAGTGCGGTTTGGACGGGGTTTTTGTTTCCTTTTGGTGAAAAAATTAGGGTGAAGAAATGTTTAACCACAGGAGGATTCTTTCGTTCTGTTAATAAGAGATTGGCACCAGTTGGTACAATATTCCAAATGTAGAAAATGTTTAGAAGTCTACTTTTGGAGATCTGCCAGGCTTTGTAATGAGTTGAGGGCATCATAACCCCCTCATGTAAACCATGTAAATGCTGTTTTTATGCTCATATTCGATTGAAAATGGCTGTGCTTAGGGTTCACCTATCACCTCAGTTGTTTCAGCCTTGAGAGGCAAAATGCTGTCCAGAAATTGAAACCAAAATTACTACGTACCGGTACTTTGAATTTGTAAATGCACCACTGAACAGTAAACAGAGTCCTGAAGAGGGGCAAATAAACTCTTCAATCAAATTCTTAGGTGTTTCCTGAAGAAATATAAAAGCCAGAAATTGTACTCAGGTTTATGTGTATTTTACTCAGCTTACAGGAACCAAAGCATGACAATCATTAGGAATGCATTATCCCTCCCTGATGATCTGGAACTTTAAAATCTTACACCAGCACATCATCAATACGAATGCTAATCCTACCATTCCTGTGACCCCCATCTGTCGAACCACGACTGGGGTTTGTATGAACTGCGCCTAATCCTGAGGGCAACCACTGTTCAAGAACAACAAAAGTGCATCTGAACCCTTGCTGCCTACCACGTTCGCCCCTTTCAAACAGCCAGTTCTCCCACCTTCCACTGCCCCGAGCAGTACCTATGAATAATCATCGCCTCACCTTATATCACCATTGAGGTAATGGAAAGCGGCCCATCAGGGATTTGAATGCCATCAAATTTGATCTCAAATAATAAATCCATCCAAGAAGTGGATCATTGCAGTTGTTATTACATTTTCAGAGCCGTTGTTCATCTGTAATAGTTGGGTGGGAATGGGATTTACGTGTGAGCTTCTGTGAGAATAAACTTTTCAGAACAATTGTTCATGGGAAATCGCCCTTCATCCTAAAATTAAAATTCATACATCTGCCCCTCTTTTAAGACCATTTCAGACCAAATTTTGTTGTATCAGTTTTTATTTAATGTCGCTTCTCGTCTTGGCTGTCCTGAGATAGATCAGATTGAAATGTTGCATTTACGTAAAAACATCCATTTTCGGCACACAGTTGAAGATTCAGTTCATGTATGGCAAAACATTTGTCGTGGGTACATGGATTCACTGTACAGTTCATACTGCCATGCATGTCAGTCCATGCACCATTGCTTATCATTATGATTGGTCAATGAGTACATTAATTTGTGTTGTTTTTTACTGACCTCTACAAAAACAATATCTGTCGTTTGTGCAAAGTATGGCAGACAACCTTGGGAGCAGTTTTGACAAGCAAAAATACATGTGCATGTAATCCACAGGACTGGATGGCATTAAACTGCTTAAGATTTGTCGACCAAAATATTGTAAACCTGGATTATGGCCTTAATCAGGGTTTAATCTTTGGGATTTGAACTAAGGAGATAAACAGGAGTATGAAAGAGGACAGTTCAACCGTTTTCCTCTCCTGTGTAATCTGATGTCACTCTGTCAAGAAATTTACTTTCTGGGTGTTTTTACATGTGTGTATCTATCATGATGTTGTACTTAAATTTTCAAACATTAGTCTCCTCTGCCTACGGTCACATCTGCGTATTAGTGTGAAAAGGAACAAAGTGTCACATTTGATTACATTTTGGGAAAGCATTGACTTTGACACACTCATTTACAACACTGTATTGTGGTTGATGGCTTCAGTCAGCCTAATCCATCCATTACTACATGTACCGTACAAGGAAGACCTTGGCATTAAAAAACATGATACATCATGGTTAGTGTGAGCGATGGACTCCGAAGTAACAGTTCTGTTTGGTTCACACTCTCAGATGTGTTCCTGTCACCATGGAGGAATAAAACACCTTGCTGTGACGTAGGAGAACTTGTAGATTTCTGGACATCAGTGAACATTGTTCCTGTGTGTTCCACGCCATACACATGCCCAAACCAATGTATACATCGGGTATGTAGTGCATGGCCATGTCTGGGTCGGGCATATTTGTCTGTGGCTACAGCTGCACTCCATGGCATGGTAATTGCAAAAACTGTAAGCCTCAGCCATAAAATAGCCTACTCACATGTGGCCTGTTCTTCATTGGACCTTAAGAGCAGGCCATGAATCCTCATCGACATTTGTGACTCAAATCCCTCAAAATGATCGCTTTTACTGATTTTGTTTTGTTTGCATTAGAAAGAGCAAAGTAAGCTCTTTGGTTTAATGGACAGTATCATTACCTTACAGATCCTAATGAAAATGGGAATTATGTGGTTGAAAATTGTAAAGGACTCTCATTGGTGGGCATTTTGCCAGATGCCTTTAGAGGCTAGTGGCTGTGGTGACTTGGGACTCATTTTGTTAGATAGGGTTACATTTACTGCACAGAGTCCATTAGGTCTTGAAATATTCATGTTCGTCAGAGTTCCATTGCAATCCTAATGAGGGTTTTGGTTGGGTTCTTTGTTTGCTAATTGAACCGTCCATATTGGTGTACACAGCAGTGGTAATTTGGAAGACAAACAGCAGCGACTAGGCACGAAAGCCGCTTTGTGAGGGCTGCCTGCCCAAAATACAGGGTCATTTCTTATTCATATTTCTTTTATCAGCTAGCACACACATCCCACAATGGGTTTGAATAATGGAATAATAAATAATGCGCCAAGAGGTACCGGGTCTGGGTTTTTGATTTTCCGCAAGACTTGGCCCTCTATCCCGATAGTACGGAAGGCCTCCCCCCGCCTGCTCATGCCGCACTTGCTCTGTTGTGTTAAAAGGGAAAATTCCCTTCCCATGTGCGTGTCCAGTCCGCGTATGTCTGTTATATGTGTGAGGAGGGTTTTGATTAAACTTTGCCATGTTTACAAATAAAAAATTGCTGAAAATAGCATCACTTACACTGTCTGCCCAAGCGCGATAAACGGATCACGGGGTGTGTGAGCTGCTGGGATTGGACATGTGTACAGTACACTACTAGTAGCATAACACAAAACACAGAGCACTCTTTTGTATGTGTATTTTTGGATGTGCTTCACCAAACCTGGCTGGCGGCGGATGTGTCTTGGTTTCTAATCGTACCGCTGACTTGTTGGGCATCTGTCGTCACGTGAAGGGTCGTCAACCAAGGTGGTTCTGGACAGCAGTATCAGGGACAACACAAGCAGGGGGGATGGGCTTTGGGGGCAATAAAGATAGGGTGCGTCGCCTCCCGTAGATCTCAGATAAAATGATTGCATTGGAGATGAAGTTGCCCCACAAATCAATGTCGGTGCATTGAAAAGTCTTGCTCATTTTGGTTCATGTGGTATGGATGATGCCCCAAGTGTTCCTGGGCCGCATCTGAGCATGTTATTCGTGTTAACGTCAGTGTAGCCCTTAAGTGCACAAACAGCAGGAGCATGACCTGCCGGCAAGTGCAAACACACCTTCCTTGAGGCTGGACATATATTGCATCATGCGGTTATCTCAAGATGGCAGAAAGGTGGATTTTTTTGTTTGCAAAATGTGATTCAAGCGCAATGCGCGAGCAACATTTTCCTCCACCTGTG